CTGTGGTGACTCAGTTCTTAGCCTAGTCCAACCACAGTGTGGCGCCACCTGTTGGTCGGTCTCAGTGATAACATCACAGACCAAACTTTGGACCAAACTGTTTCAGACTCAACACAAACTTTGATCATCAAGGACTTTTTCATGACACTTTGACACGTTAGCGTTAGCGTTAGCATTAGCGTCAACTCCTCATGTGTCAGATTCGTTTGGAGGAAAACGAGCTTCAAGAACCGATAATTGAAGCTCGGCCGTTGGTCCAAATCTGCCACTAATCCACCGACCGACGGGTGAGGGGGAAAAAAAACCATCAAAGGACACAAAGGCCTTCAATCAGCGTCTCGTTAACACCACGACCTTCATCCGGCGCTGGCCACCAACTGCCCGTCTGTCAGATTAGTTCAAGGCCCGGAATCTAAATGGAACACGACCAAAGGAATGGGAACGCAAATATAAAACTGGCTAACGCTCTCTAATAGAAGCTAACGCTCTCTAAGAGAAGCTAACGTTCTCTAACAGATGCTAACACTCTCTAATAGACGCTAGCGCTCTCTAACAGAAGCTAACGTTCTCTAAGAGAAGCTAACACTCTCTAATGAACGCTAACGCCCTCTAAAAGAAGCTAACGCGCTCTAATAGAAGCAAACGCTCTCTAACAGAAGCTAACGCTCTCTAATAGAAGCTAACACTCTCTAACAGTAGCTAACGCTCTCATAGAAGCTAACATCCTCTAAAAGAAGCTAACGCTCTCTAATAGAAGCTAACGCTCTCTATCAGAAGCTAACACTCTCTAATAGACGCTAACACTCTCTAACAGACGCTAACGCTCTCTAACAGAAGCTAACGCTCTCTATCAGAAGCTAACACTCTCTAACAGAAGCTAACACTCTCTAACAGAAGCTAACACTCTCTAACAGAAGCTAACGCTCTCTATCAGAAGCTAACACTCTCTAATAGACGCTAACACTCTCTAACAGACGCTAACGCTCTCTAACAGAAGCTAACGCTCTCTATCAGAAGCTAACACTCTCTAATAGACGCTAACACTCTCTAACAGACGCTAACGCTCTCTAACAGAAGCTAACGCTCTCATAGAAGCTAACGCTCTCTAACAATAGCTAACGCTCTCTAACAATAGCTAACGCTCTCTAACAATAGCTAACGCTCTCTAACAATAGCTAACGCTCTCTAACAATAGCTAACGCTCTCTAACAATAGCTAACGCTCTCATAGTACTGCAGTACTGGACGGTTTGGTACTCGCTCAAACTGACCGACTTACTCGTGCTGGTCGTAGCTGGACTCCTTCCTGCGGCAGTGCAGGGTCACGACCCGGTGACCTTCACTCCTCACATCCTGGCTGACCATCCACTGGGTGGGGCTGCTGGGACGGGCGCCGAGAAAGGTCACGCCTTCTTTCAGCTTCACCCTGTAGAAAAGAACGGAAAAGGTCAGGTCATCCGGGGTCATCCTGGGGTCATCCAGGGTCACCCAGGGTCATCCAGGGTCACCGGGGGTCACCCGGGGTCAACCATCACCTGCATTTACAGCCTCTACTGGAAGTGATTATATTATTTTTTTTGCAACTTCACTCTGTCTAAGAATTCATTAGTGAATCAGTGGTTCCCAAAGTGGAGGGTGGCGTCCCCTATGTGGGCATAGAGGTACTACAGGAGGGATGCAGTAAAGTGAATATATATATTTTTTTTTTCCTGGATGAATCGGTTCCTGGATGAATCAGTTCCTGGATCCTGGATCAAACAGTTCCTGATTCCTGGTTGAATCGGTTCCTGATTCCTGGTTGAATCAGTTCCTGGTTCCTAGATGAATCGGTTCCTGGTTCCTGGATTAATCAGTTCCTGGATCCTGGATCAAACAGTTCCTGATTCCTGGATAAATCAGTTCCTGGTACCTGGATGAATCAGTTCCTGAATAAATCGGTTCCTGGTTCCTGGATGAATCGGTTCCTGGTTCCTGGATAAATCGGTTCCTGGTTCCTGGATAAATCGGTTCCTGGTTCCTGGATGAATCGGTTCCTGGTTCCTGGATAAATCGGTTCCTGGTTCCTGGATAAATCGGTTCCTGGTTCCTGGATGAATCGGTTCCTGGTTGAATCGGTTCCTGGTTCCTGGATAAATCGGTTCCTGGATAAATCGGCAGCCTCGGTCTGAGGACGTGAGCCAGGTTTGATTGACAGGTGACGGGGGGGGGGGGGGGGGGGGGGGGGGGGGGCGGGCCCCGCGCCCACCCCGCGGACCTGGATGAATCAGTTCCTGAATAAATCGGTTCCTGGTTGAATTGGTTCCTGGTTCCTGGTTGAATCGGTTCCTGATTCCTGGATGAAACGGTTCCTGGTTCCTTGATAAAATGGTTACTGGTTCCTGAATAAATCGGTTCCTGGTTCCTGGTTGAATTGGTTCCTGGTTCCTGGTTGAATTGGTTCCTGGTTCCTGGTTGAATCGGTTCCTGGATTAATCCGTTCCTGGATCCTAGATGAATCGGTTCCTGGATTAATCCGTTCCTGGATCCTAGATGAATCGGTTCCTGGTTCCTGGATAAATCAGTTCCTGGTACCTGGATGAATCAGTTCCTGGTTGAATCGGTTCCTGATTCCTGGATTGATTCCTGGATAAATCAGTTCCTGGTACCTGGATGAATCAGTTCCTGGTTGAATCGGTTCCTGATTCCTGGATGAAACGGTTCCTGGTTCCTTGATAAAATGGTTACTGGTTCCTGAATAAATCGGTTCCTGGTTCCAGGATGAATCGGTTCCTAGATAAATCGGCAGCGGTCGTCCTCGGTCGTCACCTGAGGACGGCTGATGGACTCTGTCCTCCGTCCCACCAGGGACGAGTGTCCTTCAGCGAAGAAGAACGCCGAGGCAGCGCTTCACCCCCCCGG